GCTTATATGATCCAGATTTTAATAGTGTCATTCCCCTCCTCTCTACACCCCAAGTATGATAGTGAGTGTTCATTACGAAGTGTTGATGACGGCATCATTGGGGGAAGGCAGATATCCTTGAGTGGTTCTGCAAATTAATGTCACATGAATGAACGGTGGGCTGAGCTGATACGCCATTTTTGTGCATATGATATAGCCGGTAAGAATACGACATGCTCTTTGATCAAGCACTTGCTCAAATTGCTCACTAGTCCACGATCGTGAGGTAATTGGTTCCAAGACGCTGGATTTTATGGCGAACCTTCAATAAAATAGAATTTTAAGGAGATTTCCGGAAGCGTGTGACTAGTTTAATGATTTATCACAGGTGTTTGCCAGGCCAAAGTATTGTAAGCGATACATGCATGTCGCTATCGGGTATATCAGCCACCTTTAACATCAATTGAGGAGTAGAAAGAGAAGATAATGACACATTGATTATTTGCGAAGAGTTAGAAAGGGAACGGAAATGTATGTATTGCCTTAGGATATTGTCCCTTTCCAGTGGTGGAGCCAAAGGGAAGCGAAGGGTATACTCCCCATCCTCTATTTTTGGAGTAACTCATCACATCACATAGAGCAACCAGATACATTACATAAAATACACATTCAAAACATATTGGACAAGAAAATAAGCCGCAACCTGAAAGGAAACATAATCCTTATATAAAGGATGACCCGTTTTTGTGCGGTTGTAAAGTTTAGATCGCACACCCCTATTCTAGAATAATTAAAATACCATGACCTATAAGGTTCTAGCCGATCCTCGACCACCCTTCCCCCCTGAATTTAAAAATCTTCGATCCGCCTATTATGAACTTTGTATGTATTTTTACAGACTTTCACCACAATAACAAAATGTAGCTTTGTCATGCATCCTCGGTGTATGATAAAAGAAAGAACAAAATCATTATTTTGTTTGTATGGAGCATACTTTACGTACCCGCATTTTTAACTGTCCATGGTATGTTTGAAATGCCTCCCGTCTTTAGCATACGCTTTTTTTTAAGTCTCGACTATTCCTAAGTAAACATGTCTATCTCTGTTAGCTGACCATGAATGCCCCACCCCCCTTTCCAACAAGGGGGCTCAGATGGGCTGCTTTGTGGTTCGATTGATTAAAAACAGTCCAATCAGGTTGTCTGAACTCTCTCCATTAATTGAATCAGTCAGAGAACGTGACGTGGTAACGTATCCATACTCGATATTTTATTGATAGTGTAAATGTCAGATGACAAAGTCTAATCTAAGCATCAGGGACCCTGGGATATCCTGTCCTATTTCATCTGAATGTTTCCTCTTTTAATTACATCCATACACGGTCTAGCAATGTGGCTCGAAGGGGATTCAGAATGACGCGCCTATATCTAATAGCGAGAATAATTTTTAAAAATCAAGAAAAAGACATAAGAAGAAAGAAAAGGAGAGGGAAAACAAATTTAAAAGGAGAAGGTGCCTACAATGCCCTCCCATTTTTGCCGCCCCCCCCCACTTTATGAACCTTTTCTGTAGAATTTCATCGATCTAAATTTTATGTTGCCCCCCCCCCCCTCAGCCTAAGTGTGCCCCCAGTGCCCCCTCAATGGGTGGGCACAAGCTACGCCACTGATACCCACTCTCCCTCTCACTGAGTCGTTTATCACTGTCGAAACTGCCCTCGAATATTGAAGTAAAACTTGTTTAGTAATTTCGTCTTGCATTCAGTTGCGGAATGGGAGTTTTCTATTGACTGTTTTTCGTTTGGTCTTGCAAAAAGAGTCTCGAAGCAGTTGTTTTTGATGAGATTTTTTTTTCTCGAAAAAGAATACAAAAACCATTATTAATATGTGACCCGAGCACAATCGAAACTAACATCTACGTCACGTCGCTCTCGAAATGTCAGCCTGTAATTCTGAATGCTTTAAACAATTCATAAACTTGCGAATTTCCTAGAAATCGGTATCGTATTGTAGGTCATCTCACTATAATGGTTTCGAAGCATGATGGAGAAATTGAAGATAAAACACCTTGTGGGCCAAGGTCATAATGGGTAAGAATTGGTTTTGGTGCATATATAAGGCCCAGTGTCAAAATAATAATGAATTCCCTTAAAATGAAATTCAAGCTTGCTCAAAGCCCTAGTAACTACATAAGTGGGACAGACACTCGAACCATACAAGACGGTCTGGCAGGCAAAGACTTGGTAATGAATCAAACAAAAATCAGTTGAATATCTCCATAGATAAAGTACATACACTTTTCAGTTTGTGGTTCGTTCATTCTAAACGTGAGTAAATCGTTTAGAAAAGGTCACAAAATACTCCGAGACAACTGCTCCTAATCATATAAATTACTGTTGTTATTTACTAATATCGCAAAAGTATCCTCTTAAATGTGATTCCACTTAAACATGTTTAACTCGGCTGTTTAAGAACGAACAAATGTTTCGAAATAATTATTCCCAAGTACCTTGCTTTTGTATGTCCTGCAGCCATAGCTAGCTTGCTATCAAATTCAAGCCGTATGTGTTTTATGTTTTATATAGAAGGGAAGAGGGCTCGTAGTAGAGATAGACAGGGAATACGCTGGTTACATGACGGAAATGTTAACATCTTTGACCTGTGGGCAGATCCTCCTGAACATCTCCAGAACTCCCCCTTATACTCTGAGATCAAGTCCTTTATTCACATCTGACATCAAGAGGATTTTCTAAATTGAGTGTTACCTGAGGCATAACCTGACTGTCTTGTATGACAGTTTTGACAAGTGTCTTTGCACCCATTAACCACTATGTTTTGGGGACGTGTAACATTCCCCTTTTTTAACATGTTTTGCTTGCTAAAGACTTATGTTTTTGAACTCCCCATATGTAGCCATCACCCATTCATTAAAAGGTTATCACCGATGTTGGGTTCTTTCGCGTTAGCTATACAGATATTTGTTTATCCATGGTTCAAGTAATCAAACTGTATTGGATTTTTTTAAATCTTTGAATAGAATTTCCTTAGATAGAATCTCATCGCAATTTTATATTGTAATGATAATAATAATAATACACAATATTTATTAGGCGCTTAATACTGGTGTCTCTAAGCGCACCATATTCTGACCAAAAAAAAAAGATTTACCAAAACTTATAAGTATGTGTGTGGAATCAACATGTGCATTGTTTTATTTCTATTTGTATATATCAATATCTATAGGACCACGAAGCCATATCGATTGGAGGAGTGCCGTACATTTGAATAATGCAATAGTAAATTTCTATCTTGAGCGAGAAAGTACACGAGCACCAAGGATAGGCAGAGGATGTGTGTAGAGAAGAGAAGAAAGAATAAAAAGAGAGAATGAGTCAAGTGATATAAGATACATACGATGTTGTTAGCTGCGTGTACTGACATATTATTAATAAGGATGAATTAATCTCTCATGTTCAATTACACAATGTTAACGTCAGAACGTAGCAGACAATAAACAGACACATATATACGAGGTCATGCGGTATACAATACGATCGGCGCGAGAATTGTCACATGTTCATTTAAATTAAAGCAAAAATTATCGAGAAGGGGTCATGTGTCATTCTTCACAACTTTTGTTTTTCTACTTGATCCGATGTGGGGCAATTATACACTAACTGCATGTAGTGACGACAAAGTGACAAATTTCGCAGACATCGGAGTCGTACTGCCGTCATTGATATATTGCGAAAATTAACAACTTTACGAGCAAACTTGTATTTATAGAATACCTAAGCATCCATGTGATATGACCTTTAAGTGCGTCACGTGATCATTTTGCAGTGTCTGAGTATGGTGGATTTTGTGGAAAGGCGCCAAATACAACGAGAAAAGCAGAGAGTATGGTGGTATCAATGGACTACATTGTCATGATTGCGTTTAAAAGATACTTCCCATGGTCCTTTTCTTGTGTGTAATGAATTCTGCCATGTAGTACACATTGCACGTGAAATGACGTGTTTTAAAAAATAATGTTAAAGAACGCCAGGTGACGATGTTGCAGTGTATGAGTTATGGTGGATTTTATGAAAAGGCGCCAAACACAACGACAAGAGCAGACAGTATCGTGGTATCAATGGCTTGTATTGTAAAGTGTTTAAAAGATACTTCGAAGGTCCTTGTCTTGCGTGTAATAGATTATAACATGTATTACATGTGAAATGTTCGGAGAAATGACATAGCCTTACACAGAGTATAACGCACTCTTGACTTCATTTGAACTTTACCTCAATAGATAACATGTACCCTGACTTTTTTTGTGGGGGGGGGATATTTCTGCAGCATCTTTCTTATTTTATCCTCAAATAATAATAATAATAATCCGGTTTTTTATATAGCGCTCAATACACCGATCCAACGATGTACCTAAGCGCTTTACAGATATATGAATCTTAAATAGTTTTTTGGTAAAATGATTAGGTTTTGGCCTGATGTATTGGAGTTTGCTTCATATCATAATTTTGTTTGAAGATTGTATATTCCATTTTTTCATTTATTTTCCATTTAATGTATATTGTTTTAGATGATAATCAACCTGTTGTGAGAGCTATCGGTCCTATTTTGGCGAACAAAGAAGAAAAAAGGGAAACAAATTGTTTACTCGTAGTTTCTCAATTTATTTTCTTTTAAATCGTAGTTAAAAGAATGCACATCATTGTCTAGAGGATTTGGTTAATTAAAACGATGTTCAATCGAGTGTCATCAGCGTATTGTGTAAGGAAATTGAATTCACAGCGAAAATAAAAAAAATGAGTTAATTGCATTTAGCTTGATTAGCCTATCTATTGGAAAGTATATCGTGCTTATTCAGAAATTGGCATACAAGTGTGCATTATCAAAATTGATCCCCCCTTTCATTGTAAATATATTTTTTATCTACAACCTGAACTTAATCTTCAAACTAATCCATGACCTGATTACAAATAATATCTTATGTTCTACTTTTACTTTATTTTTTTGCAGTCGGGAGGAGAAGCGGTGATTTAGCAACATTTTTAGGTGACACAAACGCTCAAGATTCACCCGCAATAGTAAGTTATTTTCAATTTGTAATGCTATTTAATTATTCCCCTCTACTCCCTGTGATTATGTTTTCTTTCAAAACATCATTGATGTAAGTTAGAGAATTGTCTCATTTGCTCTTTCTTTTTAAATTAGAATGATACCAAATAAATTTTCGTCCAAAATAACAACACATTTGTTTCATATCTTCGTTAGATAACATAGAAAAGGTACAGGGATTAATACGTCAGAGCATGGTAACAGATTCTAACCAAATACCAATTAAAAAATACGATTAGTTGGGCATTGTTCGTTACATCTCACTAGACCGTCAGCCAAGACGGCCCAAGAGGTCGAGCTCCCATAGACCATCAGTAACGAGACGGGCAATGTTGGTCTGGTAAACCTCCGGGTTGAACCTTTCGTTGTGAGAAGCCCCTCGAGATCGACATGTTAGTAACGTAGGCTCACGTGGTCTCGGACCCACATGGTCTTGAACTCGCATGTCATCGGTCTCGCATGCAGTCGGTCTCGTATGCCGTCGGTCTCGAGGGCCTTCTGACAAATTTGCGCTGGGAGAAACAACACCCATTTTCTGTCGGCCTCGTAACAAAAATGGGCGGAGTCCCCTCGGTAGTAGACACACTGCATGATTTTATTGTTTAAAGCTGGGCCTTTACATATATGTATATGCAATTTGCATCGATTCTTAGTAAAAGTATATTCTATTTCAGCAAAATCTCATGATGGTTACGTAACTTATATTACTTTTTACATATATTTTACATATAACTTATATTACTTTTTACATACGAGTTGATGCCACAAAACACATCGAACCCAACGGAATATGGCAATTGGTTGACCTAGATATATTACTAGAACGACCGAATTTTATACCAATCTTAGGAAAACCCCATGGGAAGAAAAAAATGCTTCCATTGCTAACATAATGTGCATAGTATGGAATGCAATTATTGAAATAACATAAAATATCGATTCAAGTGGATTACTGTGCATGATATGTGATTACGATCCCCTGGTAGTTACTGTTCTTTTGAGTTACAAAAGAATTACCTACTTATCAATTAGATTAGCCATTAATGTCGTTGATACTGTTAGAATAAAAATCCTATTACCCCAATTCAAGATGAAATATAAGGTGATGATAACATTTTCTCGTTTCCCAGCATTTTGGCAGAAATCGATTTCTACTTTTTGAGTAGTTTCAACAAAAATTACATTCCAAACTTAATGTCTCTGGAGAACTACCATTAACCATAATACTAGGCAAAAGTGGAGAAGCATACAACAAATGTGCTCCAATTAACATGTATCTCTTCCAATTTTTGCCTGGCTCATGAAAGACAATACAACGAAACACCCACGTAACGATCATTAGTTTCATTCCGTAGTTCAGAAATGATTTTAAAAAGCGGGCAAGTTGTAATCTGTCATATTAAGGTGAAAGCTAGATGAGATGTCGTAACACTTTTTACAGAACACTGTTTCTATAATTCATTTCCTCTCATTTACATTGCTTTCGTTTCTTTCGATTATCCATTTCTCTTACCTTCGCTTGTTTTTTTAAACTTTCATTCTCACATACCCACACACTCCTCTCTCTCTCCTCCCTGTCTATGTTTTTCTTCTATTTTCCATTTTTTTCTTCTCTCTCTCCCTCTTCCCTTTTTTCCCTCTCCCTAATGCTTTTCCCTTTTCTTTATCCCATTTTAATGTTGACTTAATATTTTATGAAACAGCGACACATACAGATTTTAATGATAGGAAAAAACTATTATTGGTTTACCCAAACTTTATCCGAGGTTCTCTCGTAAATCATCTTCATCTCTCTCTCTCTCTCTCTCTCTCTCTCTCTCTCTCTCTCTCTCCCTCTCTCTATCCGACCCTTTCTCTCCCTCTCCCCTTCCCTCTTTCGCTCAATCTGCACTGTAAAAACCAGGGTGTAGAAATTCTTACACCATTATGGTGTTGAATTTTTTTGACACCATTGGTGTTATTTTTAACACCGGTCAGATTTAAGCATGTATTAATAATTATCGGGTGTTAAGTTATATGGTGTAGTTTTATGCTCGGTGTTGAAAGTATTATCACGTGATTTCGTTTAAGGCAGTTGATTGGTCAAATAAGTTTTCACAGAGTGTACGCGCGCTAAATGATTATTTTACACGTGTTTATAGAAAAATACATTTATCATGATTTGTTAAGCAAACTATGACAATGCACATCAATTTTGTGATTTGTATTTTCCTTTGGCAATTATTGACCAATAGATTATTTTTCCGATCTTGTTACAATTACATTAATGTTTTAGCAATAGATATATTGATGATATGATTACTAACCAAGAAACAACATGCATGTTTATTATATATTCGTGTACCAGCCTGTATCACTTAAATGTTACTCTTGAATTTACTTCAAATGATATGTGTGATGGAGTTAATGCAATGGAGATTGGAATATACCCATGGTGGACAGTTTCCAACATCGATTATGAATTATAAGTTTACAACTGGTTCTTCTACCCTGGTCGATAATGGTCGATAATAGGGAATGTGGAATGTGGGACCATTAGAACCCATAGCAAAATCTCTAATGGATCAGCAAGAATATAAACACCCAAAGTGGAATTGAATTTGTTATGATTCCAGATATTGGTGTTAATCTACACCAGTAGGAGTTGTCAAATATTAACACCAAGAGTGGAATTAAATTGCTTAATTCCAAACCCTGGTGTTAAATAACACCAGCTGTTGTTTTCCGATATAGATACCGGGAAAGCGTTAAAATTAACACCCATGGTGTTGAATTTAACACACTTGTTTTTGCAGTGTGCCTTTCTGTCTGTCTGCCTTTTTTTCTTCTCCATCTCCCTCTCTCTCCTCTCTCTCCTCCCCCTCTCCTCTCTCTCCCCTCTCTCCCCTCTCTCTCCCCCCATACTATTAGTACTGCCATGATACTTGTTATTGACCTGTCCATAATAGTTTTCACCAAGGCTTTCGCGGTTGACACCACCGTCTGAATATCAAATCCTTTCATTGCTTTACCCTCTCCCAGAAGCCAGTAATATCTTTGGTGTGCTACTCGATCCCCTTCCCGCTCCTCAAGTGTTTGGATCCTGACTATGATTATGATAATACTAGCTTCAATTACAATCCATCAGTCAGTTGGTCTTGAGACTTTTTGTGCACACACGGTGATATTTTACTTCACGTTTGTACGTGATACCCGTCCGTATTGGATCTTTGAGGGTGCGTCTATATTAGTTTCTATTTTCCTAACTTCATAACCCTCAATGATTGAGCAAACTTTCCGACAAGACTAAGTTTATATCTGGAAAATGCATTGCAATAGGATTCCATATAGACTTTCAAAAACACGTACAATTAATTTCCAATTGAGGTCCGACTGACCATATAAACAGGCATATTGAAATTGAAAAGAAAAGTAGAATAACAAAGTCTGATACCTGTCTGTCGGTGGATATTCACGCTCCTGCTATGACGTCATAACGATTAGCAGCAAATCGGGCCTTTTCACCGAGTCTCCCGATAAATACATTTGCAATAAATTTTTATGTGAAGGAAGAGTTTACAATTTTGAAATTCAGTATTTAAATCAATTTCAATTTCTGTTAAAATTCACTTCATAGTCAGAGCATAAGGTGTGCGGCGGTATTTACTCGTTTAAGGATTTCAGAGTTATGCCATTAATAAGCATGCCAACAAATCTTGTACCGTATGGACAGCTAATTGAGATCACCTTTCGCTGCCCATACAGTGTGAGATATTGTGCCGCATTTCAGAGCATACATGGTATGGACAGCGAAATTTGATCAAGTTATAGTAATTGACGAATCGAATCGGATACATAAATACTTGTATGGACGCAACCAAAAACGGAAAGAGTTTCTTTTTTCATACTGGGGATTTGGCACTCACTCGATGGTAGATGCTGCTCTTCTTTAGACATCACCCAGATGGCCAGCTTTGATCTCGGATGATCATATAAGAAGGAGATGCATTAACCTGCATTGAATCGTGATGAGCTTTGTAACTAGGCCTATTTGTTCCAGTTAAAATTGGGTCACTTTTAAGCATGAGTTGACAAACGGCTTTGAATATTAAAATGACTGATTAGATATTTAGAATTTTCAGCGCTTTAATTTTAAGTATTCAAATCAAATTTACTGGAAATAAATAAAAGCACATTTTTTGCATCTAACATTATTAATGCATTTTGAAAGTAGATACGTCGGAAGAATTAGTGATGTCTCGATAGTTAAAGCTAGTATCTTAGTCCCAAGCCCAAAGCTTTGTGTAGAAAAAATAGACACATCAGAAAGAAAAAATGGGCTATTCATATATGCTCAAATATTACCGTGAAGTTTTTCCATGGTTACAATAAACCATCTAATCTAATTTTGCTTTGTAATCATCCAGTAGTACGATCATAAATATTTCTTGTTACAACAAATAAGTTAGAGTAATAAGAAAAATAGTACTTAGTTATAAAAAAAATGTAGTATCCTTTTCACAAATATATTTTTGTATTACATCAATGATCAGACACATGACAATCAAATGAAGTCGGAGTCGTCATCCTTAACTCGCTTTGAAAGAAGAACATCCTCTTTCTGTTACTGTTCACTGGTTTGCGGTTGCCTTTTGACACGGTAATACCTTTGTCTTCCCATACCTCTTCCTTTCGTTTCCATCGGGGGTCTTATGTAGGCCAGTCGTGTCGGGGGGCCGATGGCGACGGCAGCATCCCGTTCCCGGCTATCTGCAATTCAGATGATTGATGTATTCCTTCGTTGAATTTACCGCCTAAAATTTATCACACGGTACGTGGTCTGAATGGAAAGTGTTCCATCTATGTCAGTATATTCCAATACTATGACAGATTTTCTTTGTTTATAGGCGGTAAACGAAGGGCAGATTGTTCCTTTTTTATGTGTAGTGGAACTGAGAGAGACAAGTGTCAAATGACACGATTCAGGAAACAGACAGTGTTGTTTCAACCTTTGCCATTGGCGAATAGAGCATAGTGAAGCTACGAAGCAGCATAAGTGCAAGCAGAGAAAAATATCTAAACACCCTGATGTACAACATGTAAGTAACCTGCCTCGATCCCTCCCTGTATAACAATGAAAATGGGCTTTCACAAACCACTTACTTTCGCATACATCTTACGAGTGGAGTCATAAGGGCACTTCATGCTTTAATCCTGATTATAGAATCAGTAATTATATTATCCTTGATATACTATTCCAACCTTTTCTGGTTACATTTTGCATTGTATTTATGTCAGAATTTACAAGATAATTAAAGAAACACAAATTGTTCTAAATGATTTAAACTGTTTTACAATGGAAATATTGTTGGTTCGTTAAAGGGAATATACCACGTAAATATGTTATTTAAACAACAACAACAAAAAAATAGAATACGGTCTTCAACAATAATGCTTCAATTATCGCTACTATCTTTATGAGGAATTGTGAAAATTGATTGAATTATTCGTTGATTTATTTGAGTGAACAGTCCATGCAACCTACAGGGTAGAGACTCAAATACTGGACGAAAGTTAGGAGGAGCCCTTGGATCAGCTTCGAAACCATTATTTCCTTAAATATATTCACAATGTTTTTACTTCACTATACCTGTAGTTTCTAATATTGGTTGCACATAGTATTTTCTTACAACTACGTAAACAAACCCACACACACTCGATGTGTTGAACCAACCACGCTGTGAAGAAAGAAGTATGTTGAGCAAATAAAATGGAAAGAGGGGTATATTCGCGGTTCTAGAGGGGGTGGGGGGGGGGGGGGCTTGGAGAGCTAAAGTCTCCCTTCCTGAAATTTCTTCACCTCCCCCCGAAACATTCTTGACTATAAATGAATTTAAGCAAGGCACCTGGAGAAAGAAAAGAAATACCCCAGCCCCCTCCCTCTGCCCCCACCCCCCTCCAAACAAAACACGCCTACAGGTGAACATAGACGGATAGGATGCGACAGGTCATTACAATAGAGGTGTTACGTAGTACAAACTGCCTCCTTTTCCCAAAGCAGATTTATCATTCATCCGTGAAATTAGTGTCCTCTTTATTATCCGGCTAATATTTGGACACGTACATGTAAGCATGGCAACTATCCTCTATCCATTATCGGCAATATTCATAACCTTATTCTACGTGTATATCGTTTGAAATATTTAACAATCTTGCTTTTAAGTTCGACCGTGTTCCTGTTAGGCCATAACCTATTTGGAGTTAATTCAGAGTCTGAATGGAAATTGGTAATGGGAACGATGAAAGTGTTCTTATAAGAATAAAGAGCACTTAGGCATTGACCCATATTCTTGGGTATGCTATGTCGACGTTTTTCTCCTGAATGTTTTAGAATCAGGTTTAAAAATCGGGTTTTGCGTGCCGCGACACAAGATTTTGGTTTCGTTTGAACCAAACCTGTAAAGGTCATAATCCATATTTCGTGACAGAGAGAAAGATGTCTGGCAATGGAAATGGAAGCATTTCCTGTAACGTCTGCGTTCACATGTCAACATCTCGATTATAAGATATCTTTATCGGTTGTTTATCAATCATGGCTAAGAAAAAGTTTTAAACTGGAAGAATCTCAAGTTTATCCATTGAATGAATACACTTGTGATGTTAATTGCATTAAAATTACATTGAGAAGATTATGTGCTTTAGTTTTTTCTTTTCTTTTCTTGCAGGACTATAATAAGGAAAGAAAGGTCCTCCCCCCCCCCCAAGACCGTCCTTCTTTCATCTATACTCGCGTACGCATTATTCTGATATGATATAAAAACGGATTTGTATTTCTATAGGAGTATAAATCTTAACGTCATTTCGATGTGACAGTTCTTTAAAAGGTTGAAAACGTGGAGTGCCGAGGGCTGACTTGTTATTCTGCCGTTCCGAGGCTGATAGAAGTCTCGAGCGTGTTTATGAATACCTTTCGGATGAATGGGATTGAAGCAAATAATGACAATCACAAAAAGGCACCGTAAAGTGGAAGGATTTGCCACAATTGCATATACTTCTTGATGCCAAAGGCTATTACAAGGAATTTACTTTTTGTCTTCAGGAGCTGTTAGCAAGAGAATAATTATTGTAGTCGGGAAAAGCAGGGGAGATTAGTATAAACCGTTGGCAATAGAACAAGGCTGCCAAATTTCATTACCATCTTCTTGTTCTTTAGAAAATTAACAATTCAAATCCATTAAAACACATTGAACATTTTAACGCTTTAAGAATGCAGTTTCCTAGACGAACCCCCCTAAACTTGGCTTTAAAAAAATACCCACAATGTTTGTATGTATTGCATTATATGCAATCTATCCACATCTAATGTAGTCATGGAAAACATCATAGATTTTAAGATATGTACGTTTAAATCAACACATTTACATTATTTATGAAATAGTACAGTTTCGTTTCGCCCCCAATATGCAAATTCATGATAAGAAGTATACATGACCTTTCTATAAAAAAAATTTCGTCGATCCATATTCATTTTAAAGACAACTGCAGATCCTTATTTACGTTTTTTCATGCACGAATTCTGTTTGAGGCAGATTTTGTATCGTTGGTCGTTGCATGGTTTGCTACTCACCCGATCATCAAAGAAAATTTCACGTTACCGCATGGAATAAATAAGAGCAGATTCTACTATATGTAATCGGGTAAAATGCGTTTTCCCTTTATACTGGCACTCATTTCTCATGAATAAAAACCCAAAAAAAAAAACACTTCATGTAACTTACAACAAGCTTCTAACTTAAAGAAAGAGGCCAAACATACAATTTGTCTTCTTTGCTTATATCCAAAGGTGAAACTCAGGGATAAAACACCGTAGGAACCCGTGTCACTTGTTGCTTCCAAAGTCAGCTCTTATACGAAAGTATACACAGGCGTGATTGCTAACATTGGGCTTTGTTTTCCCTTTATATAAAAATTATAAACAAATAAAAATTATCAATTTTCCTTCGCCACTTTGCCGCAATTTCCTGCCTCCTTTTTCCCATAAAAGACAAAACCACGAGTGTGGTTTAAATATTTCCAAAGTTTATTAATTTGATGAATAATATTTGTTCATCCATTATATGATATCCAATCCATGTTTCTATATCTTTTCTAACCCATTGTCTTTAATAACCAGATGGTTTCAGTATAAACCCTAGGGGAATGAGATAGAAGTCGGTAGGCTGAGCCGGAGTGAATGAGTATCGGATATCATTGTAATGCTCTGGTTTCCTTTACCTTATCTTTGCCCACCTGCATCAAAATAGTAATCCAAATGTCATTTTACAAGAAATGAAACGAACGTAGTTAGTTCATTTAGGTTTGATTTCACAATAATATTCAAGCAGGCTGTACAACATTTAGCCGTAAGGTAAAATGGTGTAATGAATAAACCACGTAAACCTAATTATCCTAGGCGTGTATTACTACATTTCTTTCATCTCTACGTTGAAAACAGTCACCATAGGCTCATTTGCTTACACGTCATATGATTAGTTTTTGGTTCGTTTGGTAAGAATGAATAAATATGCGAGAAGGAATTGTAGAATGTATTCTGAAAAGGATCGCATAGTGGTATAAGAGCAGCTCTGTTGTTTTCAAACATGTAGGATGAAGTTTGGAAATCATATCAGAGCGCTCCTTTGGTAAGACCATGATCCTCAATTGTATAGTCCGCCTGATCAAGGAGGTAATAACTCCTTGGTCTGACAAGACTTCGTAAGTATAGGCCCACGCATTCATTCAGGCATTCCAGATAATGATGATGATGGTGGCTCCTTGTGAAGCACAAGTATCCACCTTTAGTACAGGTGCTGTGGGGGCGCTTGCTGTCAAACTATTAAACGTGTCAATCAAATACTTAGGTTTACCCTATTGATTAATATGTCTTCCTTTATGTCTTTTTTCTTCTTCTCCACTATACAGGAAAACTGGAGGAGTACAAAGGATGACAAATTCAACTCCCTCATGAACCGGCTTCGGAATGTTGCAGAAGACGTAGAAGATGATCTCCCACGATGGCTACAAGAGGCAGAGGAAGCCGATTTGGATTCACCCCATGTAGTCCCACACGATTCAATTCAGCGTTTGTTGGCCCGCCTCTGATCAACATGGGTTTATATTCTTTCGACATCTGGGATGGGAGCTCACAATTCCAAAACGAAAAAAAATCATCCAACTTTTTATAGACTCGACTTTGAATAAGTAGGAGAAATAAGAAAAATTATCAAATTAGAATGCTAATTTCATCCATGGTTGTTTTATTTTTCGTTCATTTGAGGAATCTGTAAGAGAGGATGTACATTATTGATATTATATACTAAACTTAGAAGACAAATTTTCGAAATATTTTTGCAACGTAAAATATGAGATGAAATTGAAACCTTGCTGTATGTACTCCACATGTCATGCGAGAGTTTTATTGATCCAAAGCATTTCTCTATCTCACTCTCTCTCTCTCTCTCTCTCTCTTCTGTCCTTCTTTACTTGTTATTTTACATTCTTAAATTGCCTCCGTTCACAGTGTATAATACATATCATTCAAGTGGCTACATGCATGTTATGTTAAAGAGTGTTCTCGTAATTGATTCTGAATTGCCAAATAAAAGGTAATGCAATAGACGTCACGGAAAAGCTTGTATACATACTTATTGTTTAATCGACATAATGCCATGGCAACATGACATGCCTTAGTTTCCTTGATCCATGTTTCAGTAAACATTTAATGTGTAATACAATTTTGATTTATATCATAAATTTTATTTTACAACAGTTGGAGATGATGCTTCATTTTATCAGTAGCATTCCATCGTTATTAAGCACGATTAAGCTCAAATAAAGGGCAAGTTAACACTTTAAAAACTAATTAAACTGATGAAACTATAATAAATGTCACAGCGACCAGAAATGGTAAAGTTTTACGTAAATGTTAATACCTATGACTAACAACTAATCCGTGCTAGAAATATATCTTGTAACAAGTCTTGGTTATTTACATTTTTAGGAACTTGATCCCCCATATGTATGTCACATGAGAGTAACATTTCAAATAAGATATCTTATGACCCCATTAATCCTTACATCAATATTAACCACAATGATGTGCTTGTGATAATGATGATAGCTTTACGTGCCGTAGACACATTTAGTTCAGTACGATCCACCTAAGCCTAGGGTATTAAGCTGCATAATCAATGACATTGTACATTTGATCTTTATTACTCTATAATATCATTGAGCGGACAAATCATCTTGGTATCACATATGTTCTTTCAAAAGAGAATGTTATTGTATGAATCTATATTTACACAGGAAAAGGATTTGAAAACAAGAAATGGCATCAGTCAACATTTAGACGCTAATGAGAATACTTGGAATATATATATTAAATCATTATTGATTTGTCTGGCTAGATTTCGATTGTCCTTTTAAAACCTTTGTAGTTATTATTTTTCAGTTTAAAGATTCAGTTTCATAACCTCTTGTCCGAAATGCCTTAGATTTCTTTCACTTATTGATAAAACATATTGATAAATCGAAAAAGTTGTTTATAAAAGTGAAACGAGAGAGGAAATATTTGTCGTAAGAATAGTAACAATTGCCTGCAATCACAAAAATATACGCTTTTTATATCACTTTGTCGAAACTTTAATTACTTTTTTCGTGTTTGGTAAATTAAGTGTCATTTGAAAGAAAACAGTATGCAGGTATGAAATTAGATCTCCGAAAAATCTCCTAAAATCTCGAGTAATGTTCTCCACACACAGCTGTTGATTTCAGCTATAATGACAAGTACAATGACGGTTTGCAAAGCATACATTGAAAAAAAAACTCTATTTTTTTTAAAGATTAATCACAATTTCAATTAAAAGAAGGATGAAAAACATTACAACAGATAATCAGAATCACTACTTTTTGAACTTCTATTTTCTTTTTGAGAAAAAAAAATGCGGATAAATTGTCTTCTTCAATGCCTTAAGCGAGTTTTCTTTTATGACATTAAAACACTTGAAATTACCCTCTTTTGATACATTTACCTTAATAAGATGACCAGTGTCTGGCATTTCATGGAAATTTGTTTTCATAAATTGCCGTTTTATGCGTTACATCAGCAAAAGCGATAGTTTATAGAGAGGGTGAATCGCATAAAAGTGTTCCTAACGGCAAAGTTCATCCGCGTAATGGACCATTAAGTTGAATTTGGAAAATGGAAATAGGTTGAACCATGCAACATCCAATATGGAATTAGCATTTATATTAAACTAGAATACTTGCACAATACTTGACACTGGCACAGATAAGAAGGAGGGTTAGCCAAAACGCTATTTGATATAATGGTACTGCAAGCAATCAAGTGGCTAAACGCCTCAGTTGGTATCCTTTACCTATCACTTAATACCTTCAAAACGAACAAAGGGACAGTATATGTTGTTTGTCATTTTTCGGCATATCCTATAGAAGGGGTGTTTATATTCTGTGTAAGCATAACTTGGATCGTACTGACCATGCAATTGAAACATGTGCTATGTAAATCTATAAAGGTACGTAGGGAAGAAATCCTCTGATATGACATGGCGTAGTTCAATTGAGATGTGAAGGCCTCTCGGGTTTCTAACAAGACGTTAATATCTATAGCAAAGCAATGGAAATAAGTGAACTCCCATGAAAGAAGTGACACCCACGCGGTCATTTAGACATTTACGTTTGCATTCAAAAATATTATGATTTTTTTTCTTCTTCGTTTGTCAAGTTATTCGGGGTGTTTGCAACAGATATGAGTGCCATGAAGAAATTGTAAATTTACGAGAAACACCAAATTGTGAGCAAAAGATAAATGGGTATGCGCTGCAACACTCCGTCACCCGTCCATTAATGCTTAAAACATGTACGTGTACTACATGTACGATTTAAAGTTAGGTATGCAGCAGCACGTTAAGATTGTACTTACCGAGGCAGTACCAGCAAGGAATTGAAGGAACAGTCTCTTATTTTCTACAAAGAAAGGTCTTCAGAAACAACTCTAATAGCTGAATTGGTACGAAAAGAAACGGTCCACAAGAAGAAAGATTCGCAAACCCAGTTGAAAAATATTAATGCAAGTTTTGTCATTTTAATTATCAATTTATTGACCTGTAGGAAAAGGGCCTTCAAGAGCTTGTTGTGCTTTATTTTCCGAATAAATTGTATCAATTTAGTTGGAACGAGGGGCAGGTGCATCGATTCTGTAGGGTCGGCGTGGTCGGTAGGAGGGCCGGGGGGGGGGGCACTGTAGCTACACCGCCACCACCACCAATACCACCTGCCCTGACGATAGTTTGACAAACTATAATGAGGTCATCATCTAAAACACTCACAAGCTTTTGTACAGTGTTTCGCCTCTGGCATGCCTGGCGACAGTACATAAAAGCAACGTTTTAGCGGTTAGGACAAGATAAAAAGCAAATTTAGAAAAAAAGCCACCACATCTATATCTCTGTTTTATATATAAAACTATGAGCTTCATTGGAATACATACACCCTGACCTGGAACAAGTGAACTCCTAAAATTTTGACACTCTTCTTGAATTAATTATGAATCCTCACAAGCGTGTAAGTTCATCACGTAGAAAACATTGCACACAAAGGTGTTTGGTATGCTCTTGATTGAAGTCTTTTCTGTTGAAAATGGGTCTTTCTCAAACATGGGGGCCTGTTATGAGAGGAAAGAAGGGAGATGGAGAAAGAGAGCGAGCGGGGTGGGATGGAAGAAAGAGTGAGTTATCTGCACTGCTCTGTATAAAGTGGCCGCATATAAAGTACTGCACGTAATTCTTTTTACAAAACGGACCCAACTTGGAGCGTTGATTTTATTAGGGCGGTTGATTCGCGTGCAGTAACTTGATTTGAAGGTGTACGGCGGTTGAACGATGCAATAAATGGCGGAAATATTTTGTAAAACGTGAGCGAATTATGAACTAAAGAGTGAAGATTAATTACGTTAAATTGCAATTGGATATACAGATGGTTGGCAGCACAGAGTCAGGGTCGATGTGACATCGTATGCTACTTCACCATAAACGTTTCCTTATGCAATCCATGTATAGTATATTATCAAATAACATTACCCAATACGTAAGTTCATGCACTCATATCCAAACAAACACAATGGCCGCTTGAATGCCTTTCTTTGCTATACCATGCAATGATAATGAATTTAATTCTACAATTAGTGTGTATAACTGCTGAGTATAGTTCATCAATTGTTCGCCAACTCATTGTATTTCGAGCTATTGGAGAGAGAAAGGGGATCTGAAATGATTGTGGCTTCGTTCATGTTCAACTAAATGTGATGTACATCTGCGAGCGTTATTTGTAATCATGGTTAAAGCTTATTTTTTTTCTCCCAACAAAGTTTGAATACTTTCCTAAATGAACCTACAAAATGTTTAAGATGATTAAGATGTACATGTACATGACACGAACGCATTCAAATTACGAAAATTAAAACAAAAATATTTCCTTTATGGTGAAGTTATATGTAGTTAGATATTTTCCGTAGAGGTATTAGTGTTTCAAAGTGCATAGTATTATACATTGGTATGTCAATGTCCGTGTTTTGCTTCGGAATATTCCAAATCACTTTAATCAATTTATCAAATATGAATTATTTTGAATGTAAATAATACTATATTCGTGCTTTACCATTGATATGAATGTGCAAGCACAATTAAGAGTTGCAATCTTTGTCCATAAACTAAGTACTGAACTTGGCTGTTCCTGCTTATGTATTTTGTTGCTTGTAAGGGTATTTATTCCCTAACAGACATTCTGTCAAGTCAGTTTGGCGACATCTTGTGTAAATAGATTGTATAAAAGTCGAAATACTTTATCAAAGCCAGAAAAACCTTGATTTATTTAAAAAACTAGTTAGAATGACTGAATTTGATGTAGATTAGTCCATTGTATGAAAGAAATACTTTTTGGTGAGAAAAATCGAATGATAAGCTCATCATAAGAATTTACTGTCTGTTTGATTTGGAAAATTTGTGTTAGACCGATTCGTTTCATTTTAAGAAAACACACAGGAAGGGGATTATCGTACATTAAAAAAAAACGAAATGTTATCCCATTTTTAAACCCTAAATGCTGGTTGGAATTGTATGATATCAACGACTATTTTAGCTTGTCCTTGCTTTGTTCTTTGATGTAAAAAGATCTAGGTTACCCTTGAGATGAACTTAAATAAAATTATTGCAATTTTTACATAGGTTTTATTTTGTACTTCTTGTAGACGGCAGGTGAGACTGATGTGCGTGTTGTTGTTTATGTGCGAGCGTGTTTTCCGTAATTGTATGTGCGTGTGGGTTTTTTAAGCGTAATGTGTGAGAATAAGCCTACAGCCCACATGACCGTCAGCTCTGGAGAACAACAGCCGCCGATACCGACATACGGTCTCGTGGACTGTGTGTTAACTGGGATGTCACGAGAGAGAAAACAAAAATGAAGGGAAGACAAACATATGAAGAGGGTGAGAGAGAGAGAGAGAGAGAGAGAGAGAGAGAGAGAGAGAGAGAGAGCACATGGAAGAAGATAATAATACCTTTACTTTTCCCTCGCTAATATGCAGTGATGATTATTGAGGAGATACCGCGATAGCAAAAACATTCAATAACTCAATTCAATGATAATTTCAACATATCCTTATTATAATTTTCCCATATTAAGGTGACGATTACATTAGATTATTTTTAATGTCCATGCGATCCCGTAAGATACATTTAAGATTATATATAATCATATTCTTTATTATTACGATGACACTATATATTCTTTACTAGTCAAATACATTATTGGTATTTTCCTTGGCAATTCCAGTCACAAAAGGGTAAGGTTGACGTTTTAAAAATATGAAGCACGTATCAACAAATTTCAAAAGCAGCTACTTGTATATATCAAGGGTAAGTTCGTTTATACAACACGAACAGCTAGTTTGACATGTGGAATTCGACTTAAACTGTTTGGAAATATAATTAAGGAATAGAATTAGAGCAGAGATGCAGGCAGAGATGATTTAGTTCTCTTCTTATCGAGTCAGCCTCTAGGGAATCGGCTTCTTCATGTTCCTAATTAGGGAAGATAATGGACCGGCGACAGAACCATTAACACTCAATTAAGACTGTGATATCGCAAAGGTGAACCCTATGTACTTTTGTGCTCCTTGATTCACATTAGTTTTTAAAGTGTTTGCTGATTAATTTATGTGTGAGTGCGCGTGTGTGTGAAATCTCTCACAAAACCAATTATGTGTCCTTCGAAACTCTCTAGTGACGTAACAATGAAGTAACATCTAACAAACAAACAAACAAGCGAGCGAGTCCTATACCTACCAGTTACATAGTACAATATTCAATATTGGTGCTAAAATAATATTCGTAAGTAGCGAAACGGAAGTGTCCAAATTATACATTCATGTAAGGGATCAATGCAGACGCAAAGGGTCGGTATTATTGGTAAATTGGCAGGAAACATTTCCCTTCATGAGCAAACAAGATGACAAGTAGATTGATTTTTCGCTAAATGGCAGAGTGTTGCTTTTATTCATTAACTGCATGTGTGATGAAGATATAGCAGCAACCAATTGAGATGACTCTGGTATATAGTTGTTTAGAAAATGAGACATAGTTTTGATTAAAAAAGAGCGAATTCGAATTGGAAAAGATAATTACAGGGGCAATTATATTAAAATAAACATTAACACATGGGAAAAGAAAGAGAATGAATTGAAAAGGGATACCTCATATAAAAAAAAGAAAAGAAAAGAAGTAAAGAAATGCAATTAAAGTGAACAATTTTGACGGAGAGGGAGGATGAAGAAAATAAGTAGTACGAGTATAAGATACATGTTTGTACGTGCATTTATGGTGACGCCAGAATACGCAAGTTCAATGTTGCAATGATATTCAGACGATTTCAACACGTTAATGCTTACCAAATGCATTGGAAACAATATACTGTGTTATTTCTTTATCATAAAGGTATCCTTGACTTTATCATGTTTTAACAATTTCATTAAAAACAAAAAATCTAATATTGCTTGTTCTTTCCTTGTATTCAATGCTAAACTGTGTTTGTCAAGCCCAAGGTGATTAGTTTATCTGAGGGAGAAAATACAAGAGATATTTCACATCGGCAAATTTTGCATAGTGCAATATTTCAGAGCAGGAAGATTCCCACTTTATTGGGAAATTTGGATTGTAGTTAAATAGTGGAACTTGCCTACTTATCCATTTTCGAATATTTATGCCCTGTTTCTACGATTAATAGTCTTCATATTCTTCTAAGAAAGAAAGGGACACGCAGAAAAACTTCTCAATAACATCCTGAGACTGGAAACGATCTCATTCATCCGACGTCATCCGTGCTTCCGTGACTGAAATGAATGAGGAAAACTAGCATGTTTACCTCCCGAAGATATTCCTCAGAAAGTCGGATAAATATACACCCACAGCCTCTGGAATCAACGCCATATAGTTGTAAATATTCCAATCAACGTGTCGACTGTTTCCGACTTCACACCTCAGCAAGAGTTAATCCTTCATTGAAAACTATTTCCCATCTCTCTTCCGACCTGGCCGTGAAGGAGATATGCCATGACGTCACGATTTCAGTTGATTTCATTTATTACGTCATTTGCAGCGCAAGAATGTAGGCGCAAATAACGAAGGCTTTTCCCCCTCTTTTGCTTGATAGAACGTCCTTCTCATTCTCTTCTCCATTATTCCTACGGGTACAAGCATTTAAACACCAAGGGGAAGACTTGTATGTTCATAACCTTTCAAATGCCCTTCTTTTTGTTCGGTATACAGCGTTTAAGATTTAGGAGCTACTCTAAGACTCAGTAGATTCTCATCGGTAGACTCTGAATAGAACAGACCTTTTTATTTGTTGACAATGACAGGTCATAGAATTGTTTGCGGCCAAATTGATGTTTATAAAAAATATGGTTTTGAAAGGAGAATTTTAACGGAAAATAGTATATGGAAGAGTAACGATTTATTTCCGCTATAGAAAATAGAAGCCTATACAAATTCTTTAAATGGAACACTTAAACGAGGTTTTACATATTTTACACAGGAACAAAACTAATAAAAAAAAAGTATTGATTGAAATTTATTTTTGATTCACAGACTGAAATTCGAAACGATAATAGACACTACATCAAAATATCTAATTTGAGTTTTTCATCGATCCGTTATTGAGTAAAGAAAGATACAAAGAGGGAATACAGAAATAGCTAAATGGGGAGATGACAATATAAATTGTCATATAATATGTAAAATAATGTGCATTTCTGACAATATTTAGTCGTAACAAAACGTTTGGATGGAAACGAATATAATTCAGCCACGATCCACGATCTTTAACTAATATACATAATTCGATTTGCACAATGTAAAATCATCATGATTAATAATTTCTTTGAAAAATAAACAAAGTGTCACCTATAATAGTTTCATCGTTCGTTTCAATATCTTTTCGCAGATTTTAAGATTGGTATTGAGAAAACAAATCTCTGGCCGGGGAGCACCCCAAGCTCACATACCTTACAGTCACGCTGGATCCCAACATCATCTATTGTAAACATCGGCTAAGGTTGGCTGATCAAGGGAAGGCAATGGTCAATATCATTAGGAAGTTTGCAAACATCACATCGGGATCCAGTTTAAGCAGCTCTGGTCGCAGCCCAAGCCTCAATCGTCACACCGGGAGTTTGCCATCACTTTGGAATTTTAGAAATTAAATAACCAACAAATCAATCGTTACCTGTCCTTTTTCATTATTATCGTCTTTTTCCAAAATGGAGAGAGAAAGGTTGTTGACGGATCTATACCTTCTTGGGGCTAAGTAGTGATATAACTAAATTTCACGATGAATTTGGTGCAAGAACCTGACCAATATGAGCTCGAAATTTCGCGGACCCATCTGGATTTCATTGCAATCACTTCAAGTGTTTTTCCTTGAGATTTACCACCCAGACTTGGGACAGATGCATCACCAGCAGAGAGATTAACATGGATAGATCTAAGTCTTAAACTTCATAGTCATTATAGACCCCCATTGAAACCAGTAGGCCTATGTGCCTATCCCAGAATAGAATCCTCAAACTTTTACAAAAAGTCCCCTTTTGCATAAATGTGTGCGTAGGTAGAGAGGGTGAACATTTGAATTAGTGTGCGTGTGTATGCGTGTAGTGGTGCATGTATGCGTTATACGTGTGGGTGTGTGTGTGGACATACCTAGACTAGACCACACCGTGTCATGACTGATTGTCCAATGCGTGCTTTTCCTGATGACATCATAATATTGGCCATCAACTTTGAAGTAGGCGCCACCGTACGTGGTCTAAAATCCTTTACGACTATATGGAACATCAGACTATTCTTTATTGTATTCATTCAATACATGCAGGGGCGGATCCAGCCGGCGTCGAGGGGGGGGGGCCCAATTTGTGAGAAAATATTGAGCGGCGCGTCAGCGCCGCGTTCCACGCTTGAAAAGCTGAAGGAAAAAAAAAAATCGAATTTGTAAACTCAATTTGTGCGATTTGGTGTATACTTTTTGCCAGGATATCATTTAAAATCTGTGACTTTTTCCAGCATAAATTTATGATAGGAGGAAAAGACTGTAAACACAAGAAGTGGGACTATGTGTGCAGTCCGCATAGTACCCCGTTGTGACAAAAAGTCTTTAGGACACTGGTATTCATGGCACCGGTACCTCTAGGCAGGCGCGTACGCAGGGGGGGGGGGGATGGGGGTTAAACCCCCTTTAGTTTTGATTGTATGTGTGTATTTTAGAACAAAACCCCCCTCTTCGGCGATTTTTTGTTTGTTTTGTTTTTGTTTAATGTCCTCTTACCACCCCCCCCCCCCCCCCTCCCCCGCTTATTCAGCGGCCGGCTGAGTCGTTGCGATTTTTTTTTGGGACCAAAAAAAAAAGGTGTCCTTTTACCCCACCGCTTATTCAAAGGCTGGCTGAGTCGTTGCGAATTTTTTGGCCCGATTTCAAAATGTTAAAACCCCCCTTGAAAAAATCCTACGTACGCCACTGCCTCTAGGTGTAAGTGTTTAATATTGATATATGTATAACTAAACACAGCAATGATTCCCTCATCAAGATCAAGAGTCCATAAAGTATATCTTTTATCCTTTTTATTTCATTTCTAAACAAGATCTTCAATTGCAACAATGTTGACAACCACA